CGAGGAGACACCGGAACAGGAGGTGAAGATGCTGGTGCTGGGTGACTTGCCGGTGACGAAGGAGGCAGACCCCCGACTATGATTGGAGAAGTCATCATCGGCGAAGGATTTGGCCGAGGTGGAGTCGGAGGACGAGCTGGGCCAAGATTGCTCCAATTTCTGTCGGAATCTTCAATATCTTCGTCATCAAGTGTGCTCGAATGATCGGTAGGTGGCGGAGCATCACCGTCACCACTGGGAGCATCAGGAGAATCATCCGCCGAAGGTTCATTGTCATCCACGTCATCTCCACGATCGTCATCAGCATTTCCATCGGCATCAATCTCCATCGAAAAGTCGGGCGAAGACACGCTTGGTACGACAGCCGTCGGAACAATCGGAGCCGGCTTTGAAGACACGGAGGCTGGTGGAGCAGCTTCAACAGGGGCAGGCCCTGCTGTAGAACCCACTCCCGAGACTTCAACTGTCTTAGACGTCGCAACGAACGCCGAAGCAGACTTGCCTTGTGGGACAGTTTGGTCCGACTCTTCACCTTCATCACTTGAGCCGAACATGAGTCGCATTTCCTAGGCCTCACGCAGAGCTTCTTCAGCGGCACGTATGTCGGCTGGAGAAGGAGAGATCGTGGAAGGTGGGGGCTTAACCACATCGGGAGGACCCTGAGGCGGGGGTGAAGGCGCGTCAGGAGAATCAGGAATATCGTTGTGATCCCCAGGGTCCACCCCTTTACCCGAAGGCTCTGTGGCAGTTTCTTGAGCCGAAGGGACGCTGCTTGGACCAGCATTCCCCATGTCCACGTCACTCTGGTCGCCGCTGAGGTCGACCACGGCAGGAGTTGAGGAAGACGCTGGTGGCGACCATGAACTTGGAGAAGACGGTACAGACTTGGACCGAGTCTTCATATGACGACGAGGCGACTTGGCAGGAGAATGAGGACGAGACTTCTTGCGCTTCTTCTGGGCCGCATTCTTCCACGCCTTCGGGCCAAATAGCGATCTACGAGCCGACTTGGGAGTTGAAGTATCGGCAGGTGGCGCATCACCGAGACCAGCAGCTTCCATCGAAGTACTGGCCTTGTCCGTCGGGATTGGAGCCTTGTCTTCGTCAGAGTCGTCCGGCTCGTCTGAATCCTCGCCACCTGGTCGAAGGCGCTTATGGGACTTCCCATGGGCCACTTGGTGAGCGGCCTTGGTCAAAGCTGCAGGAAGAGCTTGAGGATCGTCCGAAGACGCGGTAGCAGACTGGATGCGCCGCAAAGCGACTAACGTCTCTTGATCCAAGTCCAGCGCGTCCAGGTCCAGCTCACCCGCGGTCAGACCTATCACGAAGGATTGTGAGCGAACGTTAGTTGCTGAACACACGGTGGAAGGAGCGACATTAGGAACGTACCATCAACAGCCAGACGAAGTACCTCGGGATCCATCCCGGCCAGACTCACGTGTGCACGGAGGGTGCGATTCGCTTGGAGGAGACGGTCTTGCTGGTTCTCGAGGACCTTGAGCATGTTGTTATCAACATACTTGCCCTGGGCAAGCTTTACCAGAAGGAGGTGAAGCTTCCGGGTCTGCTCAGTATTCGCTCCAATGGAAGCCTTGTACACCTCGCGTTCGCAAGCCAGCTTCTTGTGCAACGTGTTGATGAAAATGTCCCGAGCTTAGACCTCGCAGTGCAGACGATTCAAGTCTTCTGCATGTCGCTCCATCGTGGCTTGAACAGTGGCGAGCATGGCGTCGTTCTTGGCGTTCGCCTCGGGGAGAATCTTGACGTTGTGGTGAAGGGCTTCGATCTTAGCGTTGGCAGCCTTGAGGAACGCCTCCGCGTTCTCACGAGCCATGATTTCGGGTGCCATTGAACGTACGGCGGCAGCAGCCTCGTACTGAGCAAACCGCAACTGACGCTCCAAGTTGGCAACTCGTTCGGGTAATGCCGACAGCGCGTCAGGAAGAGGTTGTACCGCAGCGAGGACATCATCGAAACCAACAGCAGTCTCGAGGCGACGTTGAGCGTGCACATCGCCGTGGAGAGGAGGCGCAACGCTGAGCTGCACTTGGTGACGAGCCATTGCAGCCAAGTACGAAATTATCGAGGTCATCATGTGATCGACCGATGCCTTTGTACTTTCAGCCAGCATGGCGCGCAGCGAATCTTCGGTGAGTGGTGGTGGACCACCAGCAGGCGCAGGAGGAGCAGCAGGAGCCATCTTCGCGGATTCAGCGGCGACAGGGAATGCCGCAGGAGCTACCGCAGGGGGTGAAGAGTCCGGGGCAGGAAGCGCCGGAGGACCGGCTGATGACGCTGCTGTCAGGGGAAGTGTAGCAGACTGAGGGGCGTTCGAACCCTCGATCTTGCCCTCCTGAGAAACAAGTCGAGTAATGCGAGGTGATGAGCAAGGTGCCGATAATTCAAGAGAAGGATGAGCTGACGTACCTCCAGCTGTTCACGTTCGCGAGGTCGGCGATCTTTGAGACGCTGAAACACGTCGGACACGGCTCGGTTCAAACGCTTGGACATACGGAGACTGGATGGTGAATTGGAGAATGAAGAAATGTCACAACGGGCACCAGTACCGTGGCTTCCATTGCGACAGGGGCAGTTGTGATGTAGTGATTTCTCCGTAGTTGCGGATTATCACCCGTCGACAAAGACGTGACACCACCCAAGATGTTCAAGCGACGAACCCTCGGTCATGTGATGTACGGAGACGCCAAGGTACAAGGGACTCGACGGCGTCACTTCCGAACTTTCAACGAGTATTGGATACGGCCCATAATCCAGGCTGTCCTTATTATAAATAATGGACTGGCCGGATTCTTGCATTCAGCGGACTATCTACGGTACGAACCCTCAGTGGCGGTTGGGATGAATTCGCGGAAGACTCAGCGACCCTTGGAAGGCACGTTCACCGTCTGGGACAGGGCGCGGACCGTTAAAGATACTCATGCGACGGTGCAGACGACGCTTGGCGTGCAAGAAGATCCATAACGGATCATTGTTCACTTGATATTTGTATACTTGATTAGGACTTCTTACTAGGAATATACCCGAAAGGGTAAGCTTAAATACAGAACAGAAATTTCACTCAAGCACACAGAGCGACGTCCGGCGTCAAGGTAAGCGTCTGGTCAAGCTTGTTTGAGTGTGTTATACCTGTCGGTGAACTCGAAGCTCTGTAGCGAGGGTTTATCCGGCAAGGCCCAGAGACTGTGTATTTTGGCCGATTACTATCGGGAGGTTTTTACGTGACGGCTTATTGTTGCCTATTTGCACGACTGGGGGTGTTTGTATTGCATCCCTTTTATTCTTCCAACCGAGTGTTGAACACTCGGTGACCTCGTAAAAGGCTTACCCGTGCCTGGTACCCTTCCGCTGTTGGGACCACGAGGATTTATAACACCTATTAGCTTTGCTCGTGCTAGTAGCGTGTTCTTATTTTTACTGGTTGGCCTATATAAGTAGTTTACAAGGTCTAGTTTGTCCCGGTGCAAGGGCAGAACTGGGGTCTTCAGGTCCGCTTGAACGATTGTTTACTATCCTAGTAGACGTATTGTTGTGGGAACGTCCTCCCTACATTTGTAGCTAGAGTTCACGTGGTAATTTCAACACCACAATGTCCTTTGGTCACGTATTGACCAGCGTTTACCCGATAACAAGCTCTTGGGACAATGGCTTGGTCCATTCTAGATTACTGAGGCCAAGCCGCACTCGTTATGATCCAGCATCTCATCACTGGACGGGAGTATGATGTACATGTATCGCGCCTGAAATTCTACGTGGACTCGGAGCTCAACCAAACTGAAGAACTCCTAGAATTGGTGTCGCGGCAAGGAATCATATTAGTCGTCGACAGTATCCGCAACCATCGTTTTAACAGCGAGCACACACGCTGGGAATTGTTGGTGTCCTGGGTGGGCCTACAAGCCATTGAAGACTCATGGGAGCCCTTGAATACTCTGGCTCAGGATGTCCCTACTAAGGGCCGTGATTACGTCGGTAATAGTGGCGATGATGACTTGCGTATGAAGTTTGAGTAGCGCACCAGTATCGCTGAGCTTTGGGGGCAATGTCGGCAGATTGTGGTCAAGCTACGCGCTACGGTGGCGCGTCAACATCAAACCTGCTGAGTGTTTGCTCCTTCAAGTGGGTTGCGTGTGTCGTCGTGCCTGTGGATGCAGAGTATACGAGTTATGCCGTGAGGACTCGCTCCAGGCACGCGATGGCAGAAACTAGTGGGGGATGGCACGTGTCCACCACGACTGCATGATCAAGAGCACGCTAGGGATACAGAGCGTGTTGTAGTTTGGTAGAGCTGCTTTTGTTACCTGTTTTAACTTTCCTCATTAATCAACTTTCCTCTTTGAAACACCCCGGGTATTCGCGACAAGATGACGGCAAATTTGTGCTAGTTGCCACTAGCAACAGTTGCTTTTGGGAACTAAATATCTTATCTGGAGAATGGAGCTTGCTGTTTGAAGCTCACAACGGTGCGGTTGTGTCCTGTGCAACACACCCAACAATACAGGAAGTAGTGACAGCATCCCAGGACGGATATATGAGAATTTGGGATCTTAAACAGCACAAGTGTACACGGCATCTGTACCTTGGAAGGTTTATCAGCTCGAGCGTCAAAGTGTTCTGTATGGAATACTATCCACCGGACGCGAACTTGCGATTGGACTAAGTTCAGGCGAAATTCTAGTTGTAAACTGAAGCGATTTTAGGGTTAGCCAGCTTCTGCCAGTACAGCCAATTTGCATTTGGGACTAAATGGAATTTCCCACGTGAAATACTGCCTCAACGAAAAATACTTAGCTGTTGCCGTGATGGATACTTTTGTTTACATGTATGATGTCAACAACAGGCGAAGGCCATTCGAGCGCGGTGACAGACCTAACGTGGAGCAAGGACAGTGGCATCTTACAAAGCAATGCAGCTGATGGTGAAATTCAACACTGGCTAATGTCCCCTACGAAAGGCGGAGCCAAGCCCATTACCGTGTGTGTTTACTCCAGGAATTCGCATGGGCTTGCGAAGCTGGCATTTCCACAGAAGTAATTTTCCATCGTTTCCACACGACATGATCAAATTGAGCTTCTTCGAGTACGCCACTTGGAAAGTTGCTCCATGGTGGACCAGGGGTCCACTATACTTCAATTTGTCCAAACGCGAATGCAACGCTGTCGCGTTAGGCCACTGTGCCAATTTCTTGGACAATCCTTCCATTTCTACCTGAGTTTGTTTTGGTAGCTTAAACTGATTGCCCGTTTCTTGATCGTGAGGTATAGCATCAACAAGCTTTCCAGTGAGTTCGTAAGTTTTTCTTTCCAACACGAGTTCGATTATCTCAGCATCGGTATATTCATCCGGGATTTCCCACCATTTTGCGGGATCCTGTCGTGAATCGCGCTCCCAAACGGTATCAACATCAGGGCTAGCTTTTGGTTGCAAGAACCAGCACAGATCCCCCTTCGCTGTACCTGCTACAATCCCGCCGAGAGAATGATCAGTGGTATGTATCGCGACTAGTTCATGGGAGTGATCATCATACATGTATTGTAGACTGGCGGGGAATCGTTCAAACTTGTGAAGTCTTGGACCTCGAAGCGCCCATGGAATGACGGGACGTTGCCCTTCAGCTTCCACTCTTTCTTAGTCGGAGCCGAAGGACGAAATCGTGGAGGACAGCCAAAGGTGGACCCATAAAAAGCACTGTCATTATTAATCTTGGAAGGAGGAGGAACATAGCTGGTCTTTGGGAGGGTCCAAAAGCGCATATGTCGAACACCACAGCTGACCAACGTGTAGCAAGCATTGTCGTCGTTTAGAGCCTGCCCTGGCTTCTTAGATTGATGTGTTTCGAGCCGACCATACGCCTAAAATGGGTTAAAGGCAACAGCGTGAACTCGAAACGTATGACCTTGTGCACTAATTAACTGTTCCTGCGCTTTCCAGTCGTAAATACAAATAGTTTGTACATGTCCGCACCCAAAGAAGCCACCAGCTTGCCATCGTGAGAAAGACCGATATAATTCACTGCAACTTGATGGCCTTTGAGGCATTCAAACCGCTTGCCAAGTGGTTCGTCGTTTGCATTCCATACCAGAAGAATTGCCGACCTTCGTGCTTGTCCTGACGCTACAATTCTCTCGGGTTGGATGAATCGCAAAACTTGTAACTTCATTGCTGTGCGCTCGGAAAAGCCTTTGCGTGTGTGTTTCTTTCTTGTACAGCACCACCAGCGCTGCTGTAAACCACACGATATCACCAGTTGATCATATAGAGCGCGCTGTTGTTGATGCTTGCATTCGAGTCTGCAGGATGACTTCTGGACAGTGACGTGGTGCTTCCACTACGACAACCATACGCGAATCCCAGCTCTAGAGACGCTTGGGGTGCCTGATGCCCAGCACCGGTGTTGGGCTAGATGAATCTTCATGGTCGTACACACTCGGGGCGAATACATTGCTCCGACACTGTGGATATTGCACCAAAGCACGCTCATAGATGTGGTGTCTTTGCTGTAACAGTGTCCGTCATTGCGTTTTTCAATATTGGCCACACAGGGAAGTGCTTTGTCTGTCAATAATTTCTCGATAGTTCTCCGATTAGTTTCCACTTATCAGGGAAAACAAAATAAAGCATCCGTACCAACAGCAAGCTTGCCGTCGGGACTGCAAGATCCTGCATAGTCTGGCGAGATACTTCCTCCGCTGGCATTGTCCTTGAGCGGGTTGATGCAATTGAGAAGTCCATCACCAATCCTGCTCCAGTCAAATATGCACAAAAACGATTAAGGTACTCCCTCCCGCTTCCATGATTGCAACATAGAGTACGAAGATCAATTACTTTGGTAGTTTATGTGGAGAAAACAGCGGAGGTGAGAAAATTTTCAAGGGTGTGACGACAGGGTGGATATTGTGGTGTAGCGGGATCAGCAAAATCTGCGAGATTGCCAGATCAACTTACCAACTGCGCCCAGACACCGACTAACGGAGGGGGTCCCCCGATGATCCGTGTTCTGCTGAACTTTCCTCACCTTGTGTACCCGTCGGTAGGGCGGGATCTTGCTCTCTCGGTAACTTCCGAAGTGTTCAAGGGGTGAAGCTTGACTGTCTTGGCGAGACGTGGGGATGGGGTGGAGCAGCAGTGGAAAATCTTCACTCTGCGTCCGTGGATGGTTCCGAATCCTAAGCGAATATTCGAGCTTATGGATCCGGGGCCTAGATCGTGGATCTGGCCGTAGGGTTGCCTTGCGGGTGTGTTCCCTTGCCTTTGTAGTTTCCTTTGCGTCGTACTTGCCGCCTCCTGTGACGGGATCTTGAGAGTTGAGAACCTCTAGGGTGTAACCGACCAAGTAGTAAATTCGGTTAACCTGTCGGATCTGCACAAGTAAAGGAAAAGCTCACTAGGTTGTAGGATCTGGCCAATGTATTATCCAGTTATCGCTACCAACACTAGATTCGCAATTCCCAAGCTTCTCCTAGCTCGTACGGCCAATGTAGTTCCGGTTCTTGAGGGCAGGAAGGCACTTGCGTGTTACTGTGCAAATTGAGGTCTGTATTGATATTTAAGCCTATACCTGCCTGGATTTCTACCTTCTATGTCTTTCATCTGCTAAATCCCTTACCAGGATCGGCTGCATGTCCCTTCTTCCCTTGACCCATCATCCCAGCTGTGTTATCTTCAGATCCACCGGATCCATGACGTAATCATCATGGTCACCCTATTATGGGTACACTCATCCGGATCCAGGTCGCTTGGATCCACCTCACTGTAATTGTACACTCGCCGTGGATCCGAGCTCTCCAATCATCCAACATCATCTTGCAACCGTCTGTGATCTCCATTGTCCCACGAAAGTTCGAGATCCACTGCATCCATCATCCCTATACCCTGGATCCAGGTCCCTCAAGGCGGGATCCTCCCTCCATGGATCCGAACTCGGAAGTATGGGATCCGGGGTACCTCGCGGTGGATCTTGACTTTTCATTAGCTGTGGCTACTAGATCCACCTTCAGAGGGCACCTACCATCCTTCCTTCATAGGATCCACACCCGATTCACTCTTGTATAGTATATCCCATATCCATCTTGGTGAATCCAGGTAAGGGTGGTAAGTCTTGGTGGATCTTGCCTTCTCGTACATCGCTCATACCAGATCCATCGTCATTTCATACGGGGTGCTGCTCGTCATGGCTAATCCACCACAGGCAACTTGCATCCGTGCCAGCCAACCCAAATCCTCTCTAATCACTTGAAAATGTCACTGATTTGAGATAGTGACCCCGCGTCAGGCCCATTCTCTTATTTCTGAGAAAGCACTTCACCACAATCGCCTCCTGTACGTTGTCGGCGCTGCACAACAGCGCCACGGCGTGCATTACCAGCATCCACAACCGCTTTCTCCCCTTCGCGACACATGTCTCCCGCCAAGCGTACCGGCAAATCGTCGGGCAAGGCCCCATCCACCACACCTCCGGTCAGTCCGTCTTCCATATCGCCCACCGATCTGCGGGTTCTAGCCCAGGCGCTTTCCGATCAGGTGCAAACCCTGGCGGCGGAGCTCCAGACTGCTCAAGACCAAGCTGCGTCTCTGCACACTACCCAACTTCAGACCTTGCGAGCCCAGGTCCATGACCAGGCTATGGAGATCCAGGGATGGGAGCACCGTGCGGCCTCTCGGTCGCAGGACCTGCGACTCCTGTTGGCTGATCAGGCGGTCGAGATCCGCGACCTGACCGGACGGCTAGATCGCGCCTCCCGTCAACGAGACGTTATGCGAGATGACAACGACCATCTCCTTAGGGAGATGGCACTCGCCGGATCTGAGATCCACCAACTCTAATCCCGGATCCACGACCTCGAGCGGGATCTGGAGGATTCCCAGACTGCTAGGGCAGCTGCGGATGTGAGCTTGGACCGGCTCCGTGACGAGTTGCGTCTGACCCAGGAGGAGGTGGTGACCAACGACTATGTGGGATCCACCCATGGCGGATCCGCCTTAGGGTCGGCGCGTGGGGGGCCCCCGCGCCAAATCCACCTCCCTCATCGCCGGATGTAGCCCTGGCTCAACTCTCTGAGGAGTTGCAAGACACCAAGGAGTCGCTCGAGAGGGCGTCTGCCGGACGAGATTACGCGCTTGAAGAATTCGTACGTATGACTCGATCGCGTGACGTGATCCAAGCGAAACTGGCGGCCAGCGAACTCCAGCGGGACAAGGCGGCTACCGAGTGGGCGGATGCCAAGCGTACGCAAACGGAGCTGGAATCCAAGCTTCGCCGCACTAGTACGTGGATCCTCTTTTAGCCTTTGCTAGTAACTCCATATTCACTTGTTATTGTCAATCTAGGTGACAAATTGAAAGAAGCAGATGCGACCACCGCGAAACACCAGGATCAACTCTCCGCAGCCCAAACTCAGCAGCAACAGCTGATCCTGGAGCGCGATCGTGGCTTGTCGGAGCGGGATTTGGCACGTCGACGACTGGCGCTGGTGACAGCTGCCGTTTCGGATCCACTTCCCCCTTTGTCGGGGCCCTCTCAGGCTGCTAGCGTCTCTGCTCCTCTTCCGACTGTAAGTGGGGCGGATTCGTCGGCTGCGAAACGTCCGCGTAGTGCGTTTCCCGCTCCTAGCACCGGATCCCCCCGTCCCCATAAGCATGCTCGAGCTTCCCGAAAGCCAAACCCAAAACGACTCCGGTCTCTAAAACGGCTTCGCAAGCGGGATCCACCTCTGCGTCCAAGGCGGGATCCACATCCGCGTCCAAGACTTCCGCTTCCCCCTCGAAGTCGGGTGCAGGATCCAAGTCTGGATCCACCGCTAGATCCAAATCTACCTCGGTGTCCAAGACTGGATCTGCAACTACGTCCAAGTCTGGATCTGGACCCCAGACTGGGTCTACGGCGTCCAAGACTGGATCCGTTGCTACGTTCAAAGCGGGAGTGGGATCCAAGGCGTGGATCCACTGCCAAGGCGGGATCTACGGCCGTATCCGAA